TTGGCTGTACACACAGGCTATATGAAGGAGTTTGATTATTTTTTTGACTACACACAGGCGGAGATGGCACCATCCTATGCAAATATGTTTATGGGCCACCTTCATTTTAGGATACTTGCAGCAGCCCCCTTGAAGAAACCACTCAGCTGGTTTTGATTCATTGATGACATTGAGATCAAGTGGACGTCTGGTCGAGAATCTCTCGAAAATTTCATTTGTTTTGCAAACGAATTCCACAAGACCATTAAGTTTACTGCTGACATCTCCGGCGAGAAATACATTTTCTTGGACACTTGTTCAACACTCACCAACGGAGAAATAAGCATGGATTTATACAGTAAACCAACGGACACTCACCAATACCTTCACTCATCTAGTTGTCACCCACCTCATACCACAAGGGGCATTCCATACTGCCAACCGTTGAGAATCAGACGTATTGTTTCTGACGACAACACCGTTAGACGGCGTTGCTTAGAACTGAAATCCCATCTACTCAATAGGGGGTATAAGGCACGAAATCAACAGAGTTAAAAGAACTGGATAGGGCCAGTACACTTGAATACAAGGTGCGACCAAAAACTGGGAGAGCAACTTGTGCTGTGACCTTTCACCCCTGCATGCCACCATTGTCAACAATTTTCCAGAAACACTGGTAAATCGTGCTGTCGCCCAGTAAGCAGTAAGCTAAGAACAACACCCCACACTCCTGCAACTGGCTGTTTAAAACATGTAACAGGTGCAAGCTTTGTTCGTATACTCGCAGCACCAATTAATTCAAATGTGAGGTCAATGGTCAGAACTACCACATCCTCAAGTCGTTATCCTGCACATCGGCCAATGTAATATACTTGATCACGTGTGCTAAGTGACATTTGCAGTATTTGGGGGTGATCGAAACACCACTTAATCTCAGGATCAACAATCACTTATGTTCTATCAAAAAGAAACTGCATGTAGCAAGACATTTCAACATGCCAAGTCATTCGTGGCATGACATGAAGGTGGTACCCATTGATCACTGCAGGAGTTGGGGTGACCAACAACATCTCAGTAAGGAACGACACTGGGATCAACCAACTCCAAACCTGCTACCCACTCGGCATGAATGAGAGATGATCATGCTACTACATACAGGTCCGGGCAATCATTCCTGGCAGACAGTACATCTCAAGCTACCACCGAGGCAACTAGTATGATATCACACACCTATCCGCCCTCTTTAAAAAAATCTATTTATATTTTTCGAATAAAGTTACTTGCTCTACTTATTGCACTCCTTATTTAGTTACTAAATCAGTTTCCTTCCTTTTTGAGATTGGCGCTGTTTACTACCTCTAGTCCGGAAGTAGTAATTTCTAGTTTTATGGGGCGACTTTTCTTTGGGCGAGTTGACTAATTTGGGGACTATTTGACCATCTTCAAATTATTTAAAATCATAATATATATAGATATTTACATTCAACTAGTGTTTTTTTTATCAAATTACTTTTTATTGTAACTACACATACATTTAAAATTGTTTTACAATAAATTTTCTTATTTTTGATTAAACAATTCCTCATTTAGAATGTGGCCCAAGATGTAACGGTAGAATACTTTCCTCGGAGTGTGACATGCAACTGTTTTTGTTGCGATCAAATATACGCTCAGTGTCTAGAATGCAAAACATACCGAGATTTATGTAAAACATTTTTATATTTTAATCACCATCTTACATACAACAACTTGGGATGGTTTTCTGTCCATCATAAAGGGCCTTCGGCGTCCATCGACCAAAGTGATTATCGAGACACCTAAATTTACACCACCGCTCTCGATTTAGACTTATAACTTTGTATTTGTTTTATGTTCTATGTATTTGATGAAATTTATGTAATGTTTGTGTCTAGATAAAGGGGCAGGTTGCCCCGAACATTTGACAATTCGCTTGTCCGTACTGATGCTATTACTTCATATAAATGTATGTATGATAAGGTGCTATTCAATTTAGTGTTTTTTGTAAAATCTTCAGCGATAAAACTATATGTTGATAACGATGACCTCTCAATATATATCAAAGGAAATAGTACATATTCAAAAGAAGTCTCAAGTTTGTCATCTTTTTTCACATTATTATTTTCATACGGTCCGAGGTATGGGAATAAGAAAGTTACGCATTAAATACGTGAACAACAAATGATATACCCAGAAGCTTTATTAAAAATAAAATTGTAAAACCGGATTCAAAATGTTAACAAAGAGAATATTTGCACAAAAATTACAAGGAGAATAAAGTTTGCTATCCAGACGGAAAAAAATAAAATCATCAGCAACACTCCCCACATAAATCTTAATAAATTCAAGTTAGTAATATCAAATGAGGACGACGTAAATAATAACGGAACAACGTAATTGATAATAGTAATATTCTAGCAATATCTCCATGGCTTTATCTTTAGAAGAAATTCATTATATAAACTTCCAGTCTTCCTATTGTAGAGAGTACATTTCTGTTTCCAGGAAAAATGCAAAATATGATTCATAACATTGAATTAACATGTTAAAAATATTACCGTAGAATCGACCAATCAGAACGCAGGAAGTCTCCCATCCCACATCTCCATTGATATATTACCGTATAATCGACCAATGAGAATGTAGGAGAGCTTTCCATTACACCTACTTGGGTATTTGATCGTTAAATCGAAGTTATTCACGAGAAGTTTAGAAAGCAACAGAGAAAGCACCGACTTGGTAGAAGAATCTTGATTGAAGCCCAAGCTCAGTAATTTTGGGTATGACATGAACAAAAGAAATATAAATATATAAACACTACACAAAGAAGAAATACAAAATATTATAAACACTACACAATTAAGGAATACAAAATATTATAAACACTTCACAATTAAGGAATACAAAATATTATAAACACTACACAATTAAGGAATACAAAATATTATAAACACTTCACAATTAAGGAATACAAAATATTATAAACACTTCACAGAGAAGAAATACAAAATATTATAAACACTACACAATTAAGGAATACAAAATATTATAAACACTACACAAAGAAGGAATACAAAATATTATAAACACTACACAATTAAGGAATACAAAATATTATAAACACTACACAATTAAGGAATACAAAATATTATAAACACTACACAATTAAGGAATACAAAATATTATAAACACTACACAAAGAAGGAATACAAACTATTATAAACACTACACAATTAAGGAATACAAAATATTATAAACACTACACAATTAAGGAATACAAAATATTATAAACACTACACAATTAAGGAATACAAAATATTATAAACACTACACAATTAAGGAATACAAAATATTATAAACACTACACAATTAAGGAATACAAAATATTATAAACACTACACAATTAAGGAATACAAAATATTATAAACACTACACAATTAAGGAATACAAAATATTATAAACACTACACAATTAAGGAATACAAAATATTATAAACACTACACAAAGAAGGAATACAAAATATTATAAACACTACACAATTAAGGAATACAAAATATTATAAACACTACACAAAGAAGAAATACAAAATATTATAAACACTTCACAATTAAGGAATACAAAATATTATAAACACTACACAATTAAGGAATACAAAATATTATAAACACTACACAATTAAGGAATACAAAATATTATAAACACTACACAAAGAAGGAATACAAAATATTATAAACACTACACAAATAAGAAATACAAAATATTATAAACACTTCACAGAGAAGAAATACAAAATATTATAAACACTACACAAAGAAGAAATACAAAATATTATAAACACTTCACAGAGAAGAAATACAAAATATTATAAACACTTCACAGAGAAGAAGGAATACAAAATATTATAAACACTTCACAGAGAAGAAATACAAAATATTATAAACACTTCACAGAGAAGAAATACAAAATATTATAAACACTTCACAGAGAAGAAATACAAAATATTATAAACACTTCACAATTAAGAAATACAAAATATTATACTTGACAAATACTGTACATGAAATATCACCAAAAAGTACCAAACAGTAGTCAAATAGCGAATACGGAATTTTAACACAAATCAAGAACGTACGATACCAAAAATACTCCCAACAGGAAACACTTCCTAGAAATTTATGTCGTTCATGTTTTTATTTTCGAAATTCCATATAAGGATCATGTCTGTTTCTGGATTATCGGGGTTAATCGATGCCGTGTGTAACTCCGCTATTCTATCGATGTTCGACACTGGAACAGAAATGTCATAACATGCATTTTTATTAACAAGACAATGAGAGAAAAGAGCATATTTATGCATACACAAAAAACAAGAACAACATATAGACATATGAACAGCATCTTGAACCAAACTCAAACACGATTTAATAAGAATACTGCTTCATCGACAACAGCCGCCATTTAAATATTGATCAACCCTATGTTTGTGAAGCGTGTAGGATGTATTTTTAACAAATTAATTTTTAAAAATAAGCGTGGTTCACATTTGAACATCTGTTCTTATTCCCCTATAACGTTTTATGGATCTGTCGGGTTTTCTTTTGTTCATATTTTTCCTAGTTTAATCGATCTTGAGTTTAAATTAATATCACACTCACAAAGATTTTTTTTTCTGTGTTTGTTTAGCTCAAGTTTTCATTAGTAAAATGCTATTGTTCGATATTTCGTACTTACGCCGTGTTTCCGAAGTCACTATGGGACCAAATATTCCATTCATACTTTCCGTCATTGTTTTCTAATTGTCGGACTGAATGAAGAAAGAATATCACTCAATTATAAAGTTAGACACACCTTAATCTGCTGTTCTTGATACTAAATCGTTCGAGATGGTACTGATATATGTATACATGTTTGAAGGAAACGTCTGCACGCTATTTATTGCTGAATAAAAATCTTTCAAAATCAAATGGCTGTTTAGATTACTACTCCGCTAGTGACAAACCTACCTTTGTTTCCTTTGATGTTCTTGGCTTTGACCTTTTTTGGAAGTTTAACTTTCGTGATCCTTTTGCTACGACTACGCCATTTGCACCGCATCGACCTGCTATTGCTGAAAAGTTCATCCATCCACACCACAGTTAATTATGCAGTCGTTTTGAAAGAAATTTGCGATCATTTTAACCCATGAACACTACTTGCAATATAGTTTCTCAAGAGACTAGATTAATTTCGTGTTGACTCAGCAGTGACTTTGTCATTTACAATGGTACGATACACAACTATTTCTACAGCCAAACATAGATTTTATTGTTCGGATTCAATTCCTACTGGTTTTCCGTAATACTGACCATAATTTTCCGATTTTGGAAAAAGCACCAGGACTTCGTATACATCTGTATATTATGTAGACGAGCAGTGTTAACATAGCGGCCAGTAGGATCACCATTGGTATAAACCAGGCTAGGGTCTCGGGGTCGTCCAGGAAGTTGGAAATACTCCCTAAATCATCAAAGTTGGGAAACGCTAGTGACGAGGGGGAAGATGTAGTGGTGATGGCCGTTGCGGCGGAAGCGGCTGTGGTAGTCACAGGGTCAATAAGGATGACGTTCACAGCAGCAGTGTCCTTGAGGCCATTATTGTTTTTGGCAGTCAAGGTCATTGGAAACGAATCACCTACGTTGTAGGTCGTGGTGCTAAAGTTGACATTATTGTAAATTCTGGAACACATAATAACACTTTATCATTTTTGTGTTCCGGTCAATGACATAAATGGATTGTCCACAATACTTTCTTGAATCAAGTTCAAGAAAATTCTTTGTCCATATGTTTGTAGCTACTTCCACTATGCCTTATAGACAAATGATAGTAATGAAGAGAACATGATTGATATAAATCAGACCAGATAAAGTGCTACATCATAATGTTGCTATATTTTATTTTTAGCGTTGAAATTAATGTTGTATTAACTTTTCCAAACAGCAATATGAATTTCGACTGTAACATTTTGAAGTGTTTAACATCACTTAGGAATGCTATCACACAAAGACGACCCAGAACAAGAGGCCAAGAGGGCCTGTATCGCTCACTGGATCTTTATGACCAACAGTACTATATCTGTTTATATGTTCCATGTTTAACACATTTGACCCTTGTAACCTTGACTATGGGTCAAGGTCATTTCTTTTACTTTCTTAGACTTCATAAAAGGAACATACTGGCCAAATATCATTATTCTAGGCTTTTCGATATTTCAGAAGAAATTGTTTAAACGTTTTAACACATTTGACACCTGTGACCTTGCAGATTGGTCAAGGTCATATCTTTTAACAAACTTTGTAGAACACCAGAAGAGGAACATAGTAGTCTAATATAATGATTTTAGGCCTTCCGGTATTTGGGTAGAAGTCGTGCAAATGTTTTAAAACATTTGGCATCTGCGACCTTGAATATGGGTCAAGGTCATTTCTTCCTACAAACTTTGTTGGCCTTCATCAAAGGAACCTTCCAGCCTTATATAATGATACTTGGCCTCCCGGTATTTTGGAAGAAGTCGCTTAAAGTTTGAAATACATTTTACCTTTTTGACCTTGAATATGGGTTAAGGTAATTTCTTTTTGCATGCTTTGTTGGGTTTAATCAAAGGAAGATTCCAGCTATATGTAATGATTCTAGGCCTTCCGGTATTTTGGAAGATGTCGTTTAAAAGTTTTAACACATTGGACCTGTGTGACCTTGAATATGGGAAAAGGTCATTTCTTTTCGCAAACTTTGTTGGGCTTCATCAAAGAAACCATCCAGCCAAATATAATGATTCTAGACCTTACGGTTTTTTGGAAGAAGTCGTTAAAAATTTTAACACATTTCACCTCTGTGACCTTGAATATGGGTCAAGCTTATTTTTCTCGCAAACATTGTTGGACTTCATCAAAGGAACCTTCCTGCCATATATTATGATTCTAGGCCTTCCGGTATTTTGGAAGAAGTCGTTTAAAGGTTTTAACGCATTTGACCTCTGTGACCTTTAATATAGGTCAAGGCAATTTCTTTTCGCAAACTTTGATGGGCATCATCAAAGGAAGATTCCAGTCATATATGATGATTCTAGGCCTTCCGGTATTTTGGAAGAAGTCGTTTAAAGGTTTTCTTTTCGTAAAATTTGTTGGGCTTCATCAAAGGAACCTTCTAGGCTTTTCGGTATTTCAGTTTGTTAAGTTGTTTAAATGAAAAAAATGACGGACGCAGGACAGACGGACAGATCTACGGACGGTACGACGGACGACGGACGCCGCGGTATGGCATAACCTCACTTGACCCTTTGGGCCAATTGAGCTTAAAATCGTGAACAATATGAAATGCAGTAGGTCGTAGACCTGCAGCAGTCTGTCACGCCGAAGAGCCCCGCCCCTCCTGTCAACGTGTAGGACGTATCGTTATGGTCAGGCAGGACATCGATGTCTGTGGAAGAGAATGGCCCAAATTGTGATCCTGCTCTCGTGTTTATTGGCAGAAAATATGTGTACGTGTCCTTATTCAACAGGGGCGGGTTGTCGTTTTCTTCATTGATGACGATGTTTAAGTCAGCGGTGACAGTATGCCCAGCTTCATCAGTAGCTGTCACTGAAGATAACATAGTCACGTCATAAATTATGTTTGTTTCCTTATTTGGTCAAAATAAATCAGAAAAACAATCTTAATTGTATTATGTATCGTGTTAATCCACTGGCAAAATATTTGAAGAGGAAAACTATTTCCAACACTTTTACAACAAGAATAATAAATACACCCAAAAAGTAATACTTTGGTTCTAAATAGGTTACCCGTGCTGAAGAATCCCAATTTTAGGAGGGAAAATGATAATCGTTTCACGAAAAGTATAGCCAAAATGTTATTCAGGATGTATGTGTTTATTGTACTAAGCGAACGTAGAGACGACAATGACAGTAAAAAAAATTGACGTAGAGAAATGATATACCCATTGAGGATATTTGGTCTCTCTAGCACACTAAGTAGGTGTTATTCAGTTTCTCCAAGGCATCAATTAATTATTCCAACTGTTGAATGAACTTTCGCGTAATATCACACATAGTTTTACACTTGCGCGCGTTTTGATGGGATGACAAGTTTTACTCCTACCTAAAGGGCATTTCCTACATTCACGACAATTTGAACGCGCAGTAAGTAATTCACAACTGATAATAATTTGATCTTGATTTGGATTTTTGTTCTGTTTTGCTTTGAAGATAACAGACCTATTGAGTTCTAGCTACGATTTGCACTGAGTTACAATATATATGTATTTCTGAAAGTGTCACTTTTGCATATTTATTCGGAGCTTTTCACAAAAGGTCACATCACTACATCTCAACTGATGACGCAAAGAAAACAGACGTTTACACAATAGGTCAATTGCACTGTTTTGTTATGGCAGAAGTAAGTCACACAAACTCACTGTTTCATATATGATATGTTTATACCGTTAGCTATTTTACAAAAAGGTCTAAAACATTTGTTAAAGCTCTTGGACTTTTATATCTATTACTTCATTTACTTATTTATCTATTGTAAATGTTGAAACATAAGCATTATGAGTGAAAGAAACGCTAACACTACAGCCAATCGTTGTTTAACCTCTGTTTTGATATCGCACTTCATTCAATACCTGCATTTTCTGGATAAACAATGTGTTAATAGTAGGAGTTTACAAAAGGAAACAAATCGTGACCTTATCACTATTAAAGGAACAAGTCTTACGTATTTATCCATTGGACAACATGATTCACATAAGCGTAAACAAAATGCAGATTCGCGTTTTTGTAATTTAACTGACATGTATACGGAATACATGATCATATTTTTTCTAAACTATCCCATTCTAATCAGCTTAATATCTGATTTTCCTTTACAATATTTCCGTTTGAGCTCAATCATGAATGAAATAATTTTCTGTGTTATCAACAAATATATAAACCTTGATGATGGAGAACTCTTTTGATATGCTAATTAGCGCCAGTAGAGATATCTAGATCATTTAAACACTGACCAACACACGTTATAGTCTCAGACGTTTTCTGTGAAGCGTCAAGGTCATACTCCGCTGCCTTGGTGACACGCCCTGTGCTAGGGTCCATAGAAAACAACCCCGTGTTTGCGCCACAGTCCATGGTAAGTGTCTGTGTGTCTCGCTTATCGTCTGGGTCAATAACAGAATTGGCCAACGTAGGGCTGAGGTCTGGGAAAGTGGTAGTTGTCTGAAATATCAGACATCCTAGTAATTACCCAATACATTGACATGTTATCAAAATCTTATCAAACGATTGTTTATTTATTTGTTGAGGAACTGTATATCAAACAATAAGTTGAAAGATATGAATAACACAGTTAACAAGAAGGTATTAAACATCATATACCACCAGAAACCTAAATATATGCCGAACAGATGTACTACACAACAAAAAACAAAAAAACAAAACCAAAAATGAAAATCAGACAAACAAACAAAAATCAACAACAACAAAACAAAAAACAAAAACAACAAAATAAAAATAAACAAAACGAAATTAAAAAAAAAAAAGCAAAATGGAAAAACCAGGAAAAAATCATTTTTCCAAAACTTATCACAACTTGTTATATTGTAAATGTTATGCACATACTAAGAATCATTTTTGTGTACTTTTAAAACTAAATTGATGTGCATTCTGTTCAAATGTCTAAGGTGTGGGCTTTCTTATTTCCATTTTGCATTGTGATCCTTTCAAAAAGATTATTCTGAAATGAGATATCTAATAAGGATCAAACAGACGATTTTCACAGTACCTCTACACCAGCTATTTGATAAGTGGGTTGTGAAAACCCCGTTTGTTGTTCGTTGACGTCTGTAATTTCTATTGTGAAATATTTGGTAGTTGATTGTTCTCTTCCGTCGTCTGCTGTCATGGCAACGTCAAATGATGTCATTTCTTTAGCTAACAGTTCTTCGTAGTCAAGGTTAACTTTCGGCGTCACAATTCCATCTGTCTTACAGAAACAGGAAATAAGATATTGAAATCGTTTTCATACGCAACAAAGTTTTCAGCAGAATATGATAACGATCTTTACTGAAAATGATTTACACGAACGCATTACCAGGATAAACACTTAAAACAAAAATATATATATATAATGAATGTTAAAAGAAAGATAATTCATAACGAGATTTGATGAAACTAAAACAAAATAAAATCAAGATTTACAAGATGGTCCTTGAAAACGTAAATGGAGAATAAGACCAGATGTTTCGAAAAAGTAAGCGTCTTCTGCTTTATCATCGACACTCTCGATGTAAATCATGGTTCAGATATTGACAGGTGACAAAGTCTTAACAACGTCATTTCGAAAGGTGTGAAATACACTGTTACCTTGTGATATCATGTTGAACGTTAGCGATGCTCTATGAAATACTCCTTCAGTCCTGTTATTGTTAACCTTGTCCTAACTTGAGAACGTGACATTATTTTAATGATTTGATCAATAACTATATGAAATGTGCATTCCGTGCAACCCCCCACCTTCACACAAACACACATGCCTGTGAAAATTTTAATGATCTACTGGAGATTATGGGTTTATGACCGTCATAATAAGCACACCGGGAAATATTCTATTTCGTTGTGCGATATGAAGTTGAACGTGTGTGAAGCTCCTGTATATCTGAAGTATACCTGTTGGTTCCATTGTTGATTGTCTTTCTCACATTCGGGATAAACACATCACTTACTAAGATTTACGTGGCGGGAGCCCTCAATGAAGCAGAAGTCGCTTACCCATCCGGAACACATGGTCTTCTTTCCTTTTCGTACTTTGCCGGAGTCTCCGTGTAAATCTTTCTTTTGTTCATGTATTGTCATAGTTTCATCAAATTTGTCTTCAAATTTGGATACAGTGAATATATTGACATTCAGAACCTTTTATCATTTATCGGAAAGTAATAAGAAAGATGTGCGTAATATTTTATAAACATTGTCACTTAATGGACAAGATGTATAACAAATAAGAAAAAAGGTGTTACTCTTTAATAAAGGTGAAAATGATTGTCAGATATTTGGGGACAATGAATTCATTTGTCTGTGTTATTCACTTGTATGTCCTTTGTACAATCTTAGAAAACGAAATGCAAACAAACATACACCGGCGATAGAGACTGAAGTAGTTGGAGCCCTCTGCTGGCGTAAATACAGCCGAAAACCTATGGGTGTCCGCAGCATTTCCGTCCGTAACATCAGCGTTTATCAAGTACTTTGACGTAGCGGTGTTCTCTGGGACGGACACGATCAGGCCACTAGGAATATTGTTAATCTCAGGGATGTCATTGATGTCTGGAAGAAAGCGATGATAAAATAGGATTTAACGTCGCGGACTATTTACCAGCACTTATAACCTATCAATAAAATCATGATCATCAGTTTTTACCTTATTCTCGCTATATATTGTTCCGTTGAATATTAATTTTTTTAAAAACAAGATTTATTGTATTATCGATCGCTGTTGTTAATCATGTAATTGACATGAATCCTGCTAAAGCGGGACTTATTTGTCTGATAAAGTTTAGTGTTTTTGTCGATTTTATGCTATTAATCGCCAGGGTCATTTAAGGACATGCCAGGTTTTGGTGGTGGAGGAAAGCTGGAGAAAACCACTGACCTGCGTCCATAGTTAAACTCTATTGAAGTAATATTTCAACAGTCAACGCGGCAGATCGCCATTTTGGTTCGATGCCCCTATTGAAATAATGTTCACTATTGAAATATCATTTCAATGGTGAAAAAAAATACTTCAATGGTGGTCGCAGATTCAATTCAATCAACACTATTGTAATAATGTCAGCTGTATTGAAATAATATTTCAATAGTGGACACTGCATGCGATATCGCCATTTTGGTTCGACAACTGTTTTTAAACATATATGACCAGGCCGGGAATCGAACCGGCTCGAATCTGAGAACGTAAAACTGGGATTTTCGCTCCAGTACTAGCGGTCCATAAGCACTCATTTGTTTATTGAGAATTCACTGTGAGCTCATAAGTACAACAATAACAATGCAATGAAAGAGCACATTATACAAAACAAGAAAATCATTACCAATCAAAATAAGTACATACATACATGTTTGGTGTGAAGTTACAGTACAAAGCAAAAATATTATTCCAAGGCTGGCGGACTTACATGAGAAATAAGCGAAACATATGCAATATTACAGAATAGTAGATAATATAATTCTTCACTATATATTTTCTCTCTGTAAATATGAGCTTGATGCTGGACTGAACATTCTGGATTTTAACAGGAGGTTGCCGGCAATAGATTCTAATAATAACAAATTGACTTGGATCTAATCAATGATACTATGAGTGAGATGAACGGAAAGCTAAACAAGAGTGTAAATATTTACCTAAATTACATAATTACTTTCTATTAGTAGCTGACAGTAGTGGCACAAGTTTAAAAGATGGGCGGTTCCAGTAGTATTTTTATAAACTTTTTGCGTAAATTTAAATAAAAAGAGCAAATCAATTTAAAATGGAATTCATCTTCAACCAAATTTTGATTACAGTAAACACAAAGTCTTCTTTCTCTAGGAATGTTGTAATGTAGTCCTTCTTCTACACGCAACTGATGAGAAGATAAGCGAAATTTAGATATAAGACGTAGATAAGCACCTGGAATAGATTTCGTCAAATAATGTTGTAAAGTGCAAGAAACTATCAAGAATTTGTACAAATAACATTTTGTGGAGTTTTCAATAAATTCATTACGCGACTGAAGAAAGCTATCAATAAGTCGTTGTTTAATAAGTTGTAAAAATAATTTCTCATTATTAACATAATGACTTGACCATACATTACGCCAGTTACATTTTCTATAATTACAATAAACCATATCATCATTCGCTGATTGTAATATAAAATTATTGGTCTTAGTTAATTTCAACCAGTACTTAATAATACGACACTTACAAGTGATACTCAGTGGTAAACGACCAAGTTCAGAATATAACATATAGGAAGGTGCACTTTTTGTAACATTCAAGATTTTTTTCAGAAAATCAGTATGTATTCTTTCTATTTGATCAGCAGATGAGAAACCCCAGACTTTGCAGCTCTACTTTAAAACTGAAGCTACATAAGTGTAAAATACATTCAACTTGGTTTCCGTATTTAAGTAGAGATTATGACATAGTTTCAAAATATCACACATTTACGGCCTTGGTCAGCAATGATATTACACACACATTTACGGCCTTGGTCAGCAATGATATTACACACACATTTACGGCCTTGGTCAGCAATGATATTACACACACATTTACGGCCTTGGTCAGCAATGATATTACACACACATTTACGGCCTTGGTCAGCAATGATATTACACACACATTTACGGCCTTGGTCAGCAATGATATTACACACACATTTACGGCCTTGGTCAGCAATGATATTACACACACATTTACGGCCTTGGTCAGCAATGATATTACACACACATTTACGGCCTTGGTCAGCAATGATATTACACACACATTTACGGCCTTGGTCAGCACTGATATTACACACACATTTACGGCCTTGGTCAGCAATGATATCACACACACATTTACGGCCTTGGTCAGCAATGATATGACACACACATTTACGGCCTTGGTCAGCAATGATATTACACACACATTTACGGCCTTGGTCAGCAATGATATATCACACACATTTACGGCCTTGGTCAGCAATGATATTACACACACATTTACGGCCTTGGTCAGCAATGATATTACACACACATTTACGGCCTTGGTCAGCAATGATATTACACACACATTTACGGCCTTGGTCAGCAATGATATTACACACACATTTACGGCCTTGGTCAGCAATGATATTACACACACATTTACGGCCTTGGTCAGCAATGATATTACACACACATTTACGGCCTTGGTCAGCAATGATATTACACACACATTTACGGCCTTGGTCAGCAATGATATTACACACACATTTACGGCCTTGGTCAGCAATGATATTACACACACATTTACGGCCTTGGTCAGCAATGATATTACACACACATTTACGGCCTTGGTCAGCAATGATATTACACACACATTTACGGCCTTGGTCAGCAATGATATTACACACACATTTACGGCCTTGGTCAGCAATGATATTACACACACATTTACGGCCACACAATGATATTACACACACATTTACGGCCTTGATCAGCAATGATATTACACACACATTTACGGCCTTGGTCAGCAATGATATTACACACACATTTACGGCCTTGGTCAGCAATGATATTACACACACATTTACACACAATGATATATACACACACACACATTTACGGCCTTGGTCAGCAATGATATTACACACACATTTACGGCCTTGGTCAGCAATGATATTACACACACATTTACGGCCTTGGTCAGCAATGATATTACACACACATTTACGGCCTTGGTCAGCAATGATATTACACACACATTTACGGCCTTGGTCAGCAATGATATTACACACACATTTACGGCCTTGGTCAGCAATGATATTACACACACATTTACGGCCTTGGTCAGCAATGATATTACACACACATTTACGGCCTTGGTCAGCAATGATATATCACACACATTACACACACATTTACGGCCTTGGTCAGCAATGATATTACACACACATTTACGGCCTTGGTCAGCAATGATATTACACACACATTTACGGCCTTGGTCAGCAATGATATTACACACACATTTACGGCCTTGGTGGTACACACACATTTACGGCCTTGGTCAGCAATGATATTACACACACATTTACGGCCTTGGTCAGCAATGATATTACACACACATTTACGGCCTTGGTCAGCAATGATATTACACACACATTTACGGCCTTGGTCAGCAATGATATTACACACACATTTACGGCCTTGGTCAGCAATGATATTACACACACATTTACGGCCTTGGTCAGCAATGATATTACACACACATTTACGGCCTTGGTCAGCAATGATATTACACACACATTTACGGCCTTGGTTACACACACAATGATATTACACACACATTTACGGCCTTGGTCAGCAATGATATTACACACACATTTACGGCCTTGGTCAGCAATGATATTACACACACATTTACGGCCTTGGTCAGCAATGATATTACACACACATTTACGGCCTTGGTCAGCAATGATATCACACACACATTTACGGCCTTGGTCAGCAATGATATCACACACACATTTACGGCCTTGGTCAGCAATGATATCACACACACATTTACGGCCTTGGTCAGCAATGATATCACACACACATTTACGGCCTTGGTCAGCAATGATATTACACACACATTTACGGCCTTGGTCAGCAATGATATTACACACACATTTACACACACATTTACGGCCTTGGTCAGCAATGATATGACACACACATTTACGGCCTTGGTCAGCAATGATATGACACACACATTTACGGCCTTGGTCAGCAATGATATTACACACACATTTACGGCCTTGGTCAGCAATGATATCACACACACATTTACGGCCTTGGTCAGCAATGATATCACACACACATTTACGGCCTTGGTCAGCAATGATATCACACACACATTTACGGCCTTGGTCAGCAATGATATCACACACACATTTACGGCCTTGGTCAGCAATGATATCACACACACATTTACGGCCTTGGTCAGCAATGATATCACACACACATTTACGGCCTTGGTCAGCAATGATATCACACACACATTTACGGCCTTGGTCAGCAATGATATGACACACACATTTACGGCCTTGGTCAGCAATGATATTACACACACATTTACGGCCTTGGTCAGCAATGATATGACACACACATTTACGGCCTTGGTCAGCAATGATATTACACACACATTTACGGCCTTGGTCAGCAATGATATTACACACACATTTACGGCCTTGGTCAGCAATGATATTACACACACATTTACGGCCTTGGTCAGCAATGATATTACACACACATTTACGGCCTTGGTCAGCAATGATATTACACACACATTTACGGCCTTGGTCAGCAATGATATTACACACACATTTACGGCCTTGGTCAGCAATGATATTACACACACATTTACGGCCTTGGTCAGCAATGATATTACACACACATTTACGGCCTTGGTCAGCAATGATATTACACACACATTTACGGCCTTGGTCAGCAATGATATTACACACACATTTACGGCCTTGGTCAGCAATGATATTACACACACATTTACGGCCTTGGTCAGCAATGATATTACACACACATTTACGGCCTTGGTCAGCAATGATATTACACACACAGTAACGGCCTTGGGCAGCAATGATATTACACACACATTTACGGCCTTGGTCAGCAATGATATTACACACACATTTACGGCCTTGGTCAGCAATGATATTACACACACATTTACGGCCTTGGTCAGCAATGATATTACACACACATTTACGGCCTTGGTCAGCAATGATATTACACACACATTTACGGCCTTGGTCAGCAATGATATTACACACACATTTACGGCCTTGGTCAGCAATGATATTACACACACATTTACGGCCTTGGTCAGCAATGATATTACACACACATTTTACGGCCTTGGTCAGCAATGATATTACACACACATTTACGGCCTTGGTCAGCAATGATATTACACACACATTTACGGCCTTGGTCAGCAATGATATTACACACACATTTACGGCCTTGGTCAGCAATGATATTACACACACATTTACGGCCTTGGTCAGCAATGATATTACACACACATTTACGGCCTTGATCAGCAATGATATTACACACACATTTAAGGCCTTGGTCAGCAATAATAAGTTGAGTTTAAGCAAATCAACCATTAAAATTCAATGTAACACCAAGATAGCTAAAGCTTACCACAATTTCAATTTCATTGTTTTTCTCCTTTCTTAAATAATGGGAAAATAACACCCTTTGACCTACTTGATGGGAATATCCCTTTTTAATATAGGTGTAAAAATTCATTCAACAAATTATCCATACCTGGTGACTTGCCAGATTTGGCCTTATTGAAAACTTCTCTGATTTCGTCATTCGTAAATGATCGATCTAGTTCCTCAAAAACAGTTACATTCTCCTCTAAAAACAATGATTCTGAATTGTCATCAGAAACATATCTGCCATTTACAGTTTTAAAATGCTCAAAAAAGTCTGAAATGTGCAAATTGCTGGAGCAGGACTGATATAATATAATTTCGGATTTTGCCTGCGTCGCCTACTTAAGCTGTCGCCTTGTGATCTAAGGTATTTTCCCGTTACAACACATATTATGCACACATGATTCCGTCCGCAAATGACCATAACTGGAATTTACGCCCGTTACCGCCACCTCGATCAGGTCACAATGGTACACTCCATTACAACCCCGGGTGTATTTGAATGAAAACCATTTCAACAGTGGTTGAACCAATACAGCGATATCGCATGCAGCGTTCACTATTGAAATAATACTTTTACTTTCAGAATATTTTATTGTCATGGTGGTATTGACAGTAGGAATTGGGCAACAGGCAGAGCCTATGAAAGCCCTCTCCTTACAGTGCATAAACAAGTATACAAACACATCAATCAAAATTAGAGATAACAGATAATAATAATATTAGGAATAAGAATGTAGAAGATAGATTCAAATGGATGATTATATAACCGAAATGCAAAATAGGCATCACCATCGTTTGTATTACTGAGTACCAGAACAGTAACATAAACTAAAAAATACAAATTAGGTATCACAAGATATTACAAGACTGGGTCAAAATATGTCCATTTGTGGTGGGACAGGCTGCAGGTTCAAACAGTCCATTTGCACATAATCCTGAGCTGAGTCCCTAAAATGGACAGGCGGACCCACACTTGAGACATCAAATACAAATGAGAGATAGAAAAGATAGAAGTATAGAATGGGATGTACATTTGCTAAAATAGGCGACCAGTGTCAGTTATGAATCTCTGAACTATATCAAGAATAAATTTATTCATGTTTGCATCAAGTATAGGAGAACCTTTGAGAAATGTATCAATTGAAGGAGGTATAGAATCACTAAGGTCAGAAAGGGAATTAAAGAGGAGTTGTCTCTGGTTAGTAAAGAAGGGACAGTGGAAAAAGAAGTGGGTACAATCTTCAACTGGGTGGCCACAGTTACAGGCAGGGTTATCTTTAAGGTGGGAATTGAATAAATCAAAATTCAGATTATTTGCAGAGTTTCTTAGTTGACATAAAATTATGTTAGCTTTTCTTTGTCCTTTATATTTGAAAGTATCATTACAGTGGAAAGAAGGAATGGTAGTTTGCTGTGATAAAAAAGATTTTTTTATCGCATAAATAGAAGTTAATGAGGGATACAGACAAGATGGGCCATTCCATTCATTCATAAGTTTTGGAAAGAAGCTAGTGCTATATTGACAAGTTCTTGTATGGGGCACATCAAACAATCTATTGTGTCGAAGTGGATAAGGAGCATTATTATAAAAGGTTGGATAGAGTCAAATACATGAGGAGGGCATCTGTTATTTAAAATCTTAAAAAAAATGGATATTTTGATGTAAGTGTCTTCTTTTAGCTAAGAGTATTAATCCAGACTCATTATATAGAATTGCATGACTGGTGCCCCGTCTTAGGCCAGTAATAATGTGAATTGCCTCTAGTTGAATTGATTCTAAGATGTTGCATTCCCTTTCTGTGCAATTAGCCCAAACAATATCAGCATATTCTAAAATAGGACGAATAAATGTAATATATATTAATTCAAGTGACTTTCTGTCAATTTTATACTTTAACATTCTAAGTACATTTATTCGTTTATAAGCTTTCTCATAGATAGAGTTTATGTGGTTTGACCAATTAGCATGACTATTAAAAGTTAGACCAAGGTGCTTATGGAAGGTAACATTTTTAATAACTGAATCATTAAAGTACAGATTTGGATGCAACATCTCCGAATCAACTCTCCTTGAAAAAAGTAGGGATTCTGTCTTGTCAGGATTAAAAATAATACCCCATCTATTGGCCCACCTAGAAATTTTTTGAAGATCATTATTGAGTATATTAGCTGCATCTTGTCTATCGCCCTCAATTAAACCATATAAAGATGTGTCATCAGCAAATAATTTCACATTAGATAGTAAATCATCACCAATATCATTAATATATAACAAAAACAGATAAGGACCAAGAACTGAACCTTGAGGGACCCCAGCCTGTAATAACATTTCAATACAGCTGACATTATTACAATAGTAGCCTTATTGAATTGAATCTGCGACCACCATTGAATTTTTTTTCACCATTAAAATGATATTTTAATAGTGAACATTATTTCAATAGGGGCATCAACAGTCCATTACCTGGTGACTGCCCAACGTAAGCCTCGAACCCGTCCTCCAGAGATGGAGGGCTAGTGATAAAGTCATACGCCTTAACCACTCTACCACCGCTTCCTCTGTTAAGTAGTACAACATTATCCCTGGGATTTATTCGGTAATCCAATTTAAAGGGAAACTGATTAAAGTGTAGACGAGGATTTCCGGAAGTTTGTACTAACATGTATACCGAATAGTGGCCCAGTTTAGAATATACACACATACTTGGCACTGTTCTAAAATAATCTTATAATAACAATACTAAATTTGTATTCATTCATGGGTCTGGTGCACCTCCCCGTTTATTTTTTTTAAATTTTCTTCACTTTGCGTTTTTCTCTTTTGCCTCCTAGGTTTAAACATTTAGGCCCTTAACATCACAGACGAGACTGAGGAGGACGAAGCAATTGTATGATGCAGTTTAATTCATTGTGTGGTTCTACTGTAACATCACTGACGAGTCCTAGAAGGACGAAACGGTTGTATGATGCAGTTTAATTCATTGGTTGGCTCTACTGTAACTATCATTGACGAGTTCTAGAAGGGCGAAACAGCTGTATGATGTAACATCACTGACGAGTCCTAGAAGGGCGAAACAGCTGTATGATGTAGCATCACTGACAAGTCCTAGAAGGACGAAACAGCTGTATGATGTAGCATCACTGAGGAGTCCTAGAAGGATGGACCAGTTCTATGATGCAGTTTAATTCTTTGTTTGGATCTACTGTTTCTAATTCTACATTGTGAGTCTTTTGTAAACCTTTTCTATTGTCTTGAAACTCTGGGATAGTCTAACGAATGTTTGGGATATGTTTGGGGAAATGTTTGGGATATGTTTGGGGATATGTTTGGGATATGTTTGGGGATATGTTTGGGATATGTTTGGGGATATGTTTGGGATATGTTTGGGATATTTGGGATATGTTTGAGATATGTTTGGGATATGTTTGGGGATATGTTTAGGGATATGTTTGGGGATATGTTTGGGATATGTTTGGGATATGTTTGGGATATTTGGGATATTTGGGATATGTTTGGGATATGTTTGGGATATGTTTGGGATATTTGGGATATGTTTGGGATATGTTTTGGGATATGTTTGGGGATATGTTTGGGATATGTTTGGGGATATGTTTGGGATATGTTTGGGATATGTTTGGGGATATGTTTGGGATATGTTTGGGGATATGTTTGGGATATGTTTGGGATATGTTTGGGGATATGTTTAGGGATATGTTTGGGGATATGCTTAGGGATATGTTTGGGGATATGTTTGGGATATGTTTGGGATATTTGGGATATTTGGGATATGTTTGGGGATATGTTTGGGGATATGTTTGGGGATATGTTTGGGATATGTTTGGGATATGTTTGGGATATGTTTGGGATATGTTTGGGATATGTTTGGGGATATGTTTGGGGATATGTTTAGGGATATGTTTGGGATATGTTTGGGATATTTGGGATATGTTTGGGATATGTTTGGGATGTTTGGGATATGTTTGGGGATATATTTGGGATATGTTTGGGATATGTTTGGGATATGTTTGGGGATATATTTGGGATATGTTTGGTGATTACATTATAATATAAGAAGGCCATGGTAATGGAGCATTACTATAGGCATGCACTTATTACACAGGGCAAACCCTTCTCATATATAATAAATACATATATTACACAGGGCAAACCCTTCTCATGTATGATAAATACATTTATTACACAGGGCAAACCCTTCTCATATATAATAAATACATTTATTACACAGGGCAAACCCTTCTCATATATAATAAATGCACTTATTACACAGGGCAAACCCTTCTCATGTATGATAAATACATTTATTACACAGGGAAAACCCTTCTCATGTATGATAAATACATTTATTACACAGGGCAAACCCTTCTCATATATAATAAATACATTTATTACACAGGGCAAACCCTACTCATATGTAATAAATGCACTTATTACACAGGGCAAACCCTTCTCATATATGATAAATACATATATTACACAGGGCAAACCCTTCTCATGTATGATAAATACATTTATTACACAGGGCAAACCCTTCTCATATATAATAAATGGATTTATTACACAGGGCAAACCCTTCTCATATATGATAAATACATATATTACACAGGGCAAACCCTTCTCATGTATAATAAATACATTTATTACACAGGGCAAACCCTTCTCATATATAATAAATGCACTTATTACACAGGGCAAACCCTTCTCATGTATGATAAATACATTTATTACACAGGGCAAACCCTTCTCATGTATGATAAATACATTTATTACACAGGGCAAACCCTTCTCATGTATGATAAATACATTTATTACACAGGGCAAACCCTTCTCATATATAATAAATGCATTTATTACACAGGGCAAACCCTTCTCATATATGATAAATACATTTATTACACAGGGCAAACCCTTCTCTCATATTACATAGGGCAAACCCTTCTCATATATGATAAATACATTCATCACACAGGGCAAACCCTTCTCATACATAATAAATGCACTTATTACACAGGGCAAACCCTTCTCATACATAATAAATGCACTTATTACACAGGGCAAACCATTCTCATACATAATAAATGCACTTATTACACAGGGCAAACCCTTCTCATATATAATAAATGCACTTATTACACAGGGCAAACCCTTCTCATATATAATAAATACATTTATTACACAGGGCAAACCCTTCTCATATATAATAAATGCATTTATTACACAGGGCAAACCCTTCTCATATATGATAAATGCACTTATTACACAGGGCAAACTCTTCTCATGTATGATAAATACATTTATTACACAGGTCAAACCCTTTTCATATATAGAAAAATACATTTATCACACAGGGCAAACCCTTCTCATATATAATAAATACATTTATTACACAGGGCAAACCCTTCTCATATATAATAAATGCACTTATTACACGGGGCAAACCCTTCTCATACATAATAAATGCATTTATTACACAGGGCAAACCCTTCTCATACATAATAAATGCACTTATTACACAGGGCAAACCCTTCTCATATATAATAAATGCACTTATTACACAGGACAAACCCTTCTCATGCATAATAAATGCACTTATTACACAGGGCAAACCCTTCTCATATATAATAAATGCACTTATTACACAGGGCAAACCCTTCTCATATATAATAGATACATTTATTACACAGGGCAAACCCTTCTCATATATAATAAATGCATTTATTACACAGGGCAAACCCTTCTCATATAATAAATGCACTTATTACACAGGGCAAACCCTTCTCATATATAATAAATGCATTTATTACACAGGGCAAACCCTTCTCATATAATAAATGCACTTATTACACAGGGCAAACCCTTCTCATATATAATAAATACATTTATTACACAGGGCAAACCCTTCTCATATATAATAAATACATTTATTACACAGGGCAAACCCTTCTCATATATAATAAATACATTTATTACACAGGGCAAACCCTTCTCATATATAATAAATACATTCATCACACAGGGCAAACCCTTCTCATACATAATAAATGCACTTATTACACAGGGCAAACCCTTCTCATACATAATAAATGCACTTATTACACAGGGCAAACCCTTCTCATATATAATAAATGCATTTATTACACAGGGCAAACCCTTCTCATATATAATAAATACATTTATTACACAGGGCAAACCCTTCTCATATATAATAAATGCATTTATTACACAGGGCAAACCCTTCTCATATATAATAAATGCATTTATTACACAGGGCAAACCCTTCTCATACATAATAAATGCACTTATTACACAGGGCAAACCCTTCTTATATATAATAAATACATTTATTACACAGGGCAAACCCTTCTTATATATAATAAATGCATTTATTACACAGGGCAAACCCTTCTCATACATAATAAATGCACTTATTACACAGGGCAAACCCTTCTCATATATAATAAATGCACTTATTACACAGGGCAAACCCTTCTCATATATAATAAATGCACTTATTACACAGGGCAAACCCTTCTCATATATAATAAATGCACTTATTACACAGGGCAAACCCTTCTCATATATGATAAATACATTTATTACACAGGGCGTGTCCATCTCATGTTAAATAAATATATTTATTACAAATTTATATAAAAAAAAAAAAAATTCATGTGGGAGTATTGTCAATCATTCTAAGTATTATGACAATCAGTACAATAACTATAATTTGATAATAAGATCGAAAGTTAACAATACTTACTCGTGATTGTGACACTCAGAGTCTCGGGACCAACAAGTGACCATTTGTCATATATCCAAACATTGATGTCATAAGCTGGTGTCTTGTGTAAATTTAAATCTTCTGTGGCCACAATCTTCCCCGCTTCATTCAAAAAGTATAATTCATTTCAATAACATCGACAGAATTAGTGATGTTTCAATTAAGATCTACAATGTAATGTAATGCAATAAGGTCTATAAGGTAAATTAGTTTTCAGTTGCTTTTTTTAAATCTTAATTTATTTAAGTTATTGTCTTTTTTGACCATGGATATATAATGGTGATGCATTTAAAGGTTTCTCTCCTGGTGATGATTGGTGATGAATATCAGACAGGTACATATTTAACAAGCGCATGCGTCACCCTTCAGTTTTAAATGGCGCTATAAGTTTATCTGTATTTTATTGATAAATTGTCTTACAATAATTCAAGTTATGTTACTATTTATGAATCCTATTGTTTTAAATATAGCTCTGATACATTTATCATATATATATATGTCTCCCTCTGGGTTTTTAAAGTGTAAACCCTATCACCACTGACCTAGAAGGACGAAACAGCTGAATTGGTTTAGTTAATTTTCACTTTTCGTTCTGACGTATCTTATTTTAAATCTGTGTTGAGAGGTGTTATTCACCTGTGTATATTTTATACCAGCTTCCAGGTAATAATGTTAGTGCTGACAGTGGCAGTCTTTGAACGGAGAGTTAAGAGAGGTACAGTTATCGTTATATTGGTAATATAACTTTGTATAGGACTTTCTAATAGAAAGAAGGTCATCTAGGTATGGAATGGTTTTCTTCTTAAGAACTAACTCAGAACGGAGGACTAGGACAGTTGACAGGGGTAGAGTTATTTTATTATTGGCAATGCAATTTGTATAGAGCTTTCTAATCGAAAGGCTTTCCAGATTAATTAGGTAAAGACTGGTTTTCTTCCTTAAATATACTCACAACTAAGGACTTGGAATGGACAGTTGACAGGAGTACATGTCATGTTGTAAAATAAGTTCGTGGAATCTGTATCTACTCCTGCTATCGGAAATATCCCTGTGCTGGTTGTGGTGGCCAGTGTGTCCACATCGACAGCGCCTAAAAGATGGAATACATTCCTACATAATGTTATATGATAATTCCACGGAAAGATTTACGTAAAACTTTTATATCATCCAACTTGTGACAAAGATAACAAAATACTGATATGCCAACATCATTGCATTCCAAACTCAAATTAGATAAAACTAAGGCGGACAATGAACAAAAAAAAAAAAGATTTTACGGAGACTCCAATAAAACACAAGGACCACGTATTCCGGAAGAATAGGGTACTTTTGTTTCATCAACGGCATACGCCACGTAAACCTTTGTCAATCCAAGTAAGAGATGCCATATTCTCAAAGGAAAAGTTATACAGCAATGGAACCAACAGGCAAACGAACAAGCATTAAGCTTCACATCGCACAAAGAAGTAGAATATTTTAAATGAGATCACTATAACGATCGTGTAACTTCCCTTTGATTTTCATAATCCTGCATCTTTTGAAACCCAATAGACGGGCTAGATCCTTTCCGATCTTTTTAAGGTTTTATTCACTTGTTTGTGTTGTGTTATCGTACAGAAGCCTGTGATGCATAACATTCACGTGTATATAAATGATTTAAAGGTCAAGGTCACTGAATGGTGATGAAGAGTTTGAGGAAGTTTTACGGTCGTCATAGCGATCTCTTTGAAAAATATCTTATTTCTTTGTGCGAAATGAAGCTGGACGTTTGTGGTGCTCGTAAGTTTGTGTGTTGGTTTCTTTGTTGTATACCTTGTTCTCATGTGGGAACGTGTCATTACTTACTTGGATTGACCAAGGTTAACATAGTGTGTTCTCGATGAAGCAGAAGACTCTCTTCCGGAACACATGGTCGTAGTGTACTGTACTGTATTTATGATAATATTCGTGAGGTCATTCAGTATAGCGCCAAAACATTTCTGCCGTTAAACAATTCTCAGAAAATCGACAGGCACATGGCGTGGGCGTGAGTAAAACCAAATTGATCCCAATTGGAACAAATTAATTACAGTGGCTATTACCTTAGATTTCAACATCGGGAAATGGAGAATTAGGCTTATGAATAATAAAATATATCCATAATAAAGCGATACACGCGCCTATAACGTCAAATTTGTTGTTTTTTTAATATATTTTCGGGGTCGGAACATTGTTTATGTTGACTATTGTTTATAAACATGTTCACGCTCGCTTACGAAGAAAGCCGAGTGGGTCTCATGGCTTGTCACGTGACGAAGTCATTTACTTCCGCCGCAAAGAAAAACTTGAATACGAGTGAAACAAGTTGTCGTGCGAGAATTATCTATGTCAATCGCGGGCGCTAAACTAGTGGGGCCCCAAAGGGGTAATTACAATTGGAAAAGAAAAAAACTCATTGTGCAGAAATACACAGGACTTGATATTTTGTCTGTACACATTGATATATATTGCACTGTTTATCATGAAGGCTATGCTTATCAAAACGGTCGTTATTCTCATAGTAACACCAGTACCGTCATATTTTATACTTAGAACGAATACCTGCAATTGGGCCCCACCTTGCAGTCAACAACAAACACGCGTTCTCGATGGTAAATTCAAGCGATTAACACAACTATTTTCATTCAACATTTATCAGATAACAGTTTTTAGTAGTGTTGTTCATAACATATTCACGCATCAAACACTGGATATTGGATTATAATCAATGACAAGCGGATACGTTATAATTATAGGGCTGACGTTAAGCTAACCAGTCAAGCAGCAGCTTCGCAAATTCCGAATACGTATTCAGTCCAAGGTCCTCCTTCATCTTTCGCCATCTATTGATCTCCTGTCTAATATAAATTCTTGCCTGTCCTCTTTTCTGGTCTGACTCCTTCCTCTTACGCTTTCTGGCACTTTCTGTAAGGTAACTTTTAGGTCCTCGTCACCTTTTCATATTTGCGTCCGCCATATTGCTTCTTTCTTGGCTTATACGCATGCGCAGCATCAGGGTTACGAGCGGTAATTTATTAATTAGATCAGGACCGCAATGTTTACTTTCTTTATTTCTAAGATATCAATATAAAAATGGTTGCAGTGACTTTTAATTATAGTAATTAACAATAAGTCTTAATTTTGTAATATACTATTGGAAAATAGTATGTTTAATGTCATTTTCTCGTAGTGTTTTTTAACATTATAGTCGCCTGTAGATATTAACTCGTGCAGTTACATACATGTTTTCGTAATCTTAACCAGACAGTTTTTGATTGAGCCCATGTAAATAACGACTTACTGGGAAGGTTGTTCATTGATGGTGGTGCGTTTTCTATGATGCTAACTACGATGTCTTTGGTGGAGGACAAACCCAGATTGTCTGTGCACGTGATGGTCAGCGTGTACTGGTTCTGTGTGTTGTAGTTCAGGTTGGCCTCGCCATTCAGGAATAAAGAATATGCTGTAGTTAAGAGCATGATACTTAGTGTTATTAGTGCACATGCAGGTAACAGTTAAAATAGTGTTGTGCAACCTCGATACTAGTCTTACAGAGTTATCGCCCCTGTTATATAACTCTTGTATCTCTGGAAGAAAAAACAACTATGCAAACAAGATACTAGTCTCATGTATTTATCTCTGTAGATACAAGGACATCACAGCAATGTCCTCACCGAAATGAAGTAAATATCCACATATAGCTACGACGAACATATGATTTTGCGGGGATTATTGAGATTGTTTTGAGGGGACACTTAGTAAAATAATTTTTCTTTGCATTTCATGTAGTTTCAATACAATCAAAGTGATCGTAATTGTCCCCACAGTCGTAAGAGTGTCACCAAAACGTGGGTAGAAGTCGAAATGATATCCCCGTAACTACGACTTTTTGTACCTGCATGTATATAAGGTTTGCTCCTCAAAATAGTTTCTTTAGACTTTGAACATCGGAATCACATGCTACTGTATGTGTTTTGAGAACTTCTATCTTACCACAAAATTTTGTTTCTTACGCACTCACTATGTAACAACATATTAAAGACAATCACGATTCGTAAGATGACAGGAAGGATATTAGAACAAAAAAGAGAAAGAATCATACTTGTACTTCCGGTTGTTTTCGGTTGAACATTGAAGGGGTGTGGACCTGTGTAGATACAACTGTATCCCTGAACGTCTGTCACTGTCAGGTCTGTCATATGAGTTTGGACAGCCACGTCCTCTTTCACACTATCTGACGACACCATTGCAGTCATATCCGGTGGCTACATTTAAATATATATAATAATATATAATAATACTTTTCAAGATTAAAAATCATATATAATCTGACATCAAAACAGGAATGAAAAACCTTGGAAGATGTGACAATTTGTCACACAAATAGCCATTACATAATGAATTGTTTTCATAAACGTGTTTCATGACCTAACGGAGCCGTTATCGACAGGTTCCCTTCCTCATTTCATAAATCTGATGAGGAATGAAAAAAAATAACCTCCCACAACATAACATTTACCTGTGATGAAGAAATCAATGACACTTTGCCATTCGTGGATACCCTCCTAGTAAGATAACGGTAATTTGAAAGTGTAGGTCTATAGAAAAAAGACGCAGTACATCAACTGACGATTAACTACAGCAAAATATTACCATCCTGTGTATTTTTCTATAACCTGTTTACCATCTTGTCATACCATTTTCGACTATGGTGTTCATAGAATTATAGTACAGCTGAAAAAAAGATGGTTGTGATATAAAATGAAGGTGACCATGTAGTCATCGAGACGTCACACTCTAATCTTCTACTGGTTGTATTCTAAGATGAAGGTGTCGGTGTAGTTATGGAAACGTCACACTCTAATCTTCTACTGTTTGTGATATAAGAACTTCCGTGATTTACAATACTGGAGCTATTAAAATTGTACGTTTGTGTTCAAACCGTATACTCGTATTTCCTCAGATCGCCTTCAAAGTCTAAAAAGAAACAATTTTGGATAGTTTGTATTGTATAAATGTTGTTCTGATATTGTGACGTCATCATATTTTGACCTTTTCATAATTAAATCATGTGTACTCACGGTGTTGGTGATCTCCACAGTGAGAGTTCCACTACCAACATTACCACACTGGTCAGTAACGGTGAAAGTCAGTGGGTACGTTCCAACTGACCATTGACCAGTCTGTGGCTGGACTTCATCTGATTAAAAAAAATTTAATGGGAATGAGACCAAAAAAAAATGATTGTATGAACATATGTTATTCACGTTATGATTATGTTATAATATACCAATCTTGAATCTTGACAAGACGGACAGATAGAAAATCATGATTAATTATGAAAATATAGTGTTCAAGTGAATTGTGCAACATACAAATACCACGTATGTGTGATAGGGAACACATCGATATGAAGACAAAATTCCTCTGGCGTCTAGAAATTGTCAATAATTTTCGCTTTGTTGTATAATTAACTGAATTCATGATAACAAGAAATTAAAATAAAAGGAATATTATTTACATATATCAATCTACAGGAATACCCAGACTATTCAGTGATTAAGAATAAGAATTCGAACCTGTACATACTTGTATATATCTTTCTTATATACTTTGCTCATGTAATCATTGCTACGAAATGAGTGTTTTTCGGTTCCAATCAGCCAACATTTCTTTAGTTCAAAGGAATTGTTAAATTGGTAGCTTCAGTATGATATAAGTCCTCGAAGCCAGATGTGTGTGTTAAATAATTGGGCTAGCGTATCTACCAATTTAGATTTCCACATATCTTTGAACAATTGGCCTCCTAGGTTTAAATTTAGGTCACTAACGCGTCCTAGAATGACAAAACAGCTGTATGATGTAGAATCACTGACGAGTCCTAGAAGGACGAAACAGCTGTATGACGTAGCGTCACTGACGAGTCCTAAAAGGACGAAACAGCTGTATGATGTAACATCACTGACAAGTCCTAGAAGGACAGAACAGCTGTATGATGTAATATCACTGACGAGTCCTAGAAGGACGAAACAGCTGTATGATGTAGTATCGCTGACGAGTCCTAGAAGGACGAAACAGCTGTATGATGTAGTATCGCTGACGAGTCCTAGAAAGACGAAACAGCTGTATGACGTAGCGTCACTGACGAGTCCTAGAAGGACGAAACAGCTGTAGGATGTAACATCACTGACGAGTCCTAGAAGGACGGAACAGCTGTATGATGTAATATCACTGACGAGTCCTAGAAGGACGAAACAGCTGTATGATGTAGTATCGCTGACGAGTCCTAGAAGGACGGAACAGCTGTATGATGTAGTATCGCTGACGAGTCCTAGAAAGACGAAACAGCTGTATAACGTAGCGTCACTGACGAGTCCTAGAAGGACAGAACAGCTGTATGGTGTAACATCACTGACGAGTCCTAGAAGGACGGAACAGCTGTATGATGTAATATCACTGACGAGTCCTAGAAGGACGAAACAGCTGTATGATGTAGTATCGCTGACGAGTCCTAGAAGGACGGAACAGCTGTATGATGTAACATCACTGACGAGTCCTAGAAGGACGGAACAGCTGTATGATGTAACATCACTGACGAGTCATAGAAGGACGGAACAGCTGTATGATGTAACATCACTGACGAGTCCTAGAAGGACGGAACAGCTGTATGATGTAACATCACTGACGAGTCAGCTGTATGATGTAACATCACTGACGAGTCATAGAAGGACAGAACAGCTGTATGATGTAACATCACTGACGAGTCCTAGAAGGACGGAACAGCTGTATGATGTATCATCACTGACGAGTCCTAGAAGGACGAATCAACTGTGTCATGCAGTTTTATTCAGTATCTGTTTCTATCATTGTATTAAAATCTGTCATTCAATCATGTGTCTGTTACACAATCGATAGTAAAAACTGTTTCCTCAGCATAATTAATGAATGTCAGAGTGTTACATTGTTATATAAATAAATAATTTTGTAGAAGTTAATTTCTTCCATTTTATCTACAGTGTATTAAAATTAATAATTTTATAGCATTTGTAATAGCCTTATATCGAGCTGCAAAGAGTAAACAACCAGGCACCATTGACACTGCAATCTTATTATGTGTATGTAAAAGTTTGAACATTTTTTTACCCCCATTTAATTGAAACTCGCTTGATGTTGTCGTCATGGCGACAGTAAGTACAGTATCCTTCGGATCGACATCGCTATAGATCAGTGTAAGTAGAGTGGTGGGCGGGGTATCTGTGTCAAGGTAGGTCAAGGTCTGGTCTAGGTTTGTAAATGTAGGGTTTGAATCTGAAAATAAACACGATAAAATATGTAACTGTTAGCTTTATTTAACTATATACAATAATAAGTATTCTGATATGAAATAAAACATTTTGGCTTTATAAATTCAGTACATGAAATATACCACACTCACTAACGGCTGTCTGGGCATTGATGGCGTAAGTCCTCACACCAAGAGTTATCCCTGAGGCAAAGTTTGTCGGATTAACATTAGAGGGCGCTGCCATCGTCAGCTGTACGATACCACCGGAACCTGCCGAACTACTGTATGGAATCATATCGTTATCAGCGCTATACCTATAGAAACAACAAAACACTATATTAGCGACGACTCTTTAAGACACATGTACTTGATTACTTGATGTACTTAAATTATCAAATGTTTCAAAATTTTCAAATTTATTGAATTTTTGGGCATCAGTTTTTTCCTTCGATCACTTGCTGTAGGATGCAGCATCACTGACGAGACCTAGAAGGACGAAACAGCTGTATGATGTAACATCACTGACAAGTCATAGAAGGACAGAACAGCTGTATAATGTAACATCACTGACGAGTCCTAGAAGGACGAAACAGCTGTATGATGTAACATCACTGACAAGTCATAGAAGGACAAACAGCTGTATGATGTAGCATCACTGACGAGTCCTAGAAGGACGAAACAGCTGTAGGATGTAACATCACTGACAAGTCCTAGAAGGACGAAACAGCTGTAGGATGTAACATCACTGACAAGTCATAGAAGGACAGAACAGCTGTATAATGTAACATCACTGACAAGTCCTAGAAGGACGAAACAGCTGTAGGATGTAACATCACTGACAAGTCCTAGAAGGACGAAACAGCTGTAGGATGTAACATCACTGACGAGTCCTAGAAGGACGAAACAGCTGTAGGATGTAACATCACTGACTAGTCCTAGAAGGACGAAACAGCTGTAGGATGTAACATCACTGACGAGTCCTAGAAGGACGAAACAGCTGTAGGATGTAACATCACTGATGAGTCCTAGAAGGACGAAACAGCTGTAGGATGTAACATTACTTTTTTTTTTTTAAACGGAAGTCAAAAACGAATCGCTAAAATTTAGAGTTATGTAGGAATAGGAGGAAAGCTATTACTTTTTGCTGAGGTAGTAGGCTATTGTGAGACTGGAGCTTTTATCACCCTTGTAGTTTATCTCATACGCGAACATACAGGTGGTCTTTGATCTAAATTTTATACACCAATACATGTTTCTTTATATTTTTTTGTTAAAAAAAAACAAATAATAATAACGCTCTTCTTCAGGTGATCCTACTGGTGTGCATATGAACAGTAAATCACTGTATGTAGCATTACTATCATAGTTCATTGTAATATAAATGTTCTTTTTTCAAATAAATAAATGAAATCTACATTTGTTTACGTGAAAAATGATAATAAATACCATCCAATGACATCATTTGGTTTTACAGTGAGCGTGTTCCCATCTGTTACACCGAGAATCTGTTCTGTCAGCTGGTCACCTGTGTATCAAACAGTAAGGTATACTTGTATTATACATAACAGTGATCCGATCTGTTACACAGAGAATCTGTTCTGTCAGCTGGTCACCTGTGTATCAAACAGTAAGGTATACTTGTATTATACATAACAGTGTTCCCATCTGTTACACAGAGAATCTGTTCTGTTAGCTGGTCACCTGTGTATCAAACAGAAAGGTATACTTGTATTATACATAACAGTGTTCCCATCTGTTACACAGAGAATCTGTTCTGTCAGCTGGTCACCTGTGTATCAAACAGTAAGGTATACTTGTATTATACATAACAGTGATCCGATCTGTTACACAGAGAATCTGTTCTGTCAGCTGGTCACCTGTGTATCAAACAGTAAGGTATACTTGTATTATACATAACAGTGATCCGATCTGTTACACAGAGAATCTGTTCTGTCAGCTGGTCACCTGTGTATCAAACAGTAAGGTATACTTGTATTATACATAACAGTGATCCGATCTGTTACACAGAGAATCTGTTCTGTCAGCTGGTCACCTGTGTATCAAACAGAAAGGTATACTTGTATTATACATAACAGTGATCCGATCTGTTACACAGAGAATCTGTTCTGTCAGCTGGTCACCTGTGTATCAAACAGTAAAGTATACTTGTATTATACATAACAGTGTTCCCATCTGTTACACCGAGAATCTGTTCTGTCAGCTGGTCACCTGTGTATCAAACAGTAAGGTATACTTGTATTATACATAACAGTGTTCCCATCTGTTACACAGAGAATCTGTTCTGTCAGCTGGACACCTGTGTATCAAACAGTAAGGTATACTTGTATTATACATAACAGTGTTCCCATCTGTTACACAGAGAATCTGTTCTGTCAGCTGGTCACCTGTGTATCAAACAGTAAAGTATACTTGTATTATACATAACAGTGTTCCCATCTGTTACATCGAGAATCTGTTCTGTCAGCTGGTCACCTGTGTATCAAACAGTAAAGTATACTTGTATTATACATAACAGTGATCCGATCTGTTACACCGAGAATCTGTTCTGTCAGCTGGTCACCTGTGTATCAAACAGTAAAGTATACTTGTATTATACATAACAGTGATCCGATCTGTTACACCGAGAATCTGTTCTGTCAGCTGGTCACCTGTGTATCAAACAGTAAAGTATACTTGTATTATACATAACAGTGTTCCCATCTGTTACACCGATAATCTGTTCTGTCAGCTGGTCACCTGTGTATCAAACAGTAAGGTATACTTGTATTATACATAACAGTGTTCCCATCTGTTACACAGAGAATCTGTTCTGTCAGCTGGTCACCTGTGTATCAAACAGAAAGGTATACTTGTATTATACATAACAGTGTTCCCATCTGTTACACAGAGAATCTGTTCTGTCAGCTGGTCACCTGTGTATCAAACAGTAAGGTATACTTGTATTATACATAACAGTGATCCGATCTGTTACACAGAGAATCTGTTCTGTCAGCTGGTCACCTGTGTATCAAACAGTAAGGTATACTTGTATTATACATAACAGTGATCCGATCTGTTACACAGAGAATCTGTTCTGTCAGCTGGTCACCTGTGTATCAAACAGTAAGGTATACTTGTATTATACATAACAGTGATCCGATCTGTTACACAGAGAATCTGTTCTGTCAGCTGGTCACCTGTGTATCAAACAGAAAGGTATACTTGTATTATACATAACAGTGATCCGATCTGTTACACAGAGAATCTGTTCTGTCAGCTGGTCACCTGTGTATCAAACAGTAAAGTATACTTGTATTATACATAACAGTGTTCCCATCTGTTACACCGAGAATCTGTTCTGTCAGCTGGTCACCTGTGTATCAAACAGTAAGGTATACTTGTATTATACATAACAGTGTTCCCATCTGTTACACAGAGAATCTGTTCTGTCAGCTGGTCACCTGTGTATCAAACAGTAAGGTATACTTGTATTATACATAACAGTGTTCCCATCTGTTACACAGAGAATCTGTTCTGTCAGCTGGTCACCTGTGTATCAAACAGTAAGGTATACTTGTATTATACATAACAGTGTTCCCATCTGTTACATCGAGAATCTGTTCTGTCAGCTGGTCACCTGTGTATCAAACAGTAAAGTATACTTGTATTATACATAACAGTGATCCGATCTGTTACACAGAGAATCTGTTCTGTCAGCTGGTCACCTGTGTATCAAACAGTAAAGTATACTTGTATTATACATAACAGTGATCCGATCTGTTACACCGGGAATCTGTTCTGTCAGCTGGTCACCTGTGTATCAAACAGTAAAGTATACTTGTATTATACATAACAGTGTTCCCATCTGTTACACCGAGAATCTGTTCTGTCAGCTGGTCACCTGTGTATCAAACAGTAAAGTATACTTGTATTATACGTAACAGTGTTAACATCTGTATGAATTATATGAATTTAGATGCTGTAAACATGTCAGTAATTTAAGTTTGAATTAAGATGCTGTTGACATGTCAGTATTTTAAGTTTGAATTCAGATGCTGTAAACATGTCAGTATTTTAAGTTTGAAGTTAGATGCTGTTGACATGTCAATATTTTAAGTTTGAATTAAGATGCTGTAAACATGTCAGTATTTCAAGTTTGAATTCAGATTCTGTAAACATGTCGGTATTTTAAGTTTGAATTAAGATTCTGTTGACATGTCAGTATTTTAAGTTTGAATTAAGATTCTGTAAACATGTCAGTATTTTAAGTTTGAATTAAGATTCTGTAAACATGTCAGTATTTTAAGTTTGAATTAAGATTCTGTAAACATGTCGGTATTTTAAGTTTGAATTAAGATGCTGTTGACATGTCAGTATTTTTAGTTTGAAGTTAGATGCTGTTGACATGTCAGTATATTAAGTTTGAATTAAGATTCTGTAAACATGTCAGTATTTTAAGTTTGAATTAAGATTCTGTAAACATGTCAGTATTTTAAGTTTGAATTAAGATTCTGTAAACATGTCAGTATTTTAAGTTTGAATTAAGATTCTGTTGACATGTCAGTATTTTAAGTTTGAATTAAGATTCTGTTGACATGTCAGTATTTTAAGTTTGAATTAAGATGCTGTTGACATGTCAGTATTTTAAGTTTGAATTAAGATTCTGTTGACATGTCAGTATTTTAAGTTTGAATTAAGATGCTGTTGACATGTCAGTATTTTAAGTTTGAATTAAGATGCTGTTGACATGTCAGTATTTTAAGTTTGAAGTTAGATTCTGTAAACATGTCAGTATTTTAAGTTTGAATTCAGATTCTGTAAACATGTCAGTATTTTAAGTTTGAATTAAGATTCTGTAAACATGTCAGTATTTTAAGTTTGAAGTTAGATTCTGTAAACATGTTAGTATTTTAAGTTTGAAGTTAGATTCTGTAAACATGTCAGTATTTTAAGTTTGAATTAAGATTCTGTAAACATGTCAGTATTTTAAGTTTGAATTAAGATTCTGTAAACATGTCAGTATTTTAAGTTTGAATTAAGATTCTGTAAACATGTAAGTATTTTAAGTTTGAATTCAGATTCTGTAAACATGTCAGTATTTTAAGTTTGAATTAAGATTCTGTAAACATGTCAGTATTTTAAGTTTGAATTAAGATGCTGTTGACATGGCAGTATTTTAAGTTTGAATTAAGATTCTGTAAACATGTCAGTATTTTAAGTTTGAATTAAGATTCTGTAAACATGTCAGTATTTTAAGTTTGAATTAAGATTCTGTTGACATGTCAGTATTTTAAG